TGGGGGTGTGTGTGTGGTGTGGGGTGTGTATGGTGTGTATGGGGTGTGTGTGTGTGTGTTGTGGGGTGTGTATGGGGTGTGTGTGGTGTGGTGTGGGGTGTGTATGGGGGTGTGTGGTGTGGGGTGTGTATGGGGTGTGTGTGTGTGGTGTGGGGTGTGTATGGGGGTGTGTGATGTGGGGTGTGTATGGTGTGTGTGTGTGTGGTGTGGGGTGTGTATGGGGGGGTGTGTGTGTACACACGCATGCGTGCACAGCAGCCACTGACAGATTTTCTTTCCCTCCAACTGTCCTCTGCACACTGTGGTCCTGCGTCATCAGTAGGAAACCTGTGTCTTAGCTGCCTTCAAATGCCTCCTCAGCTTCACTCCCTGCAGACTATGAAATTGTGAATTCCACAGTGACTTTGTAACTTCACACTGATTGACAGTATTTTAAAATATTTTTTTGGGGGGGCGGTGGCTGCTAGCTAACTCAGGGCCAACGTGAGAGGTCACTTCCAGCAAATGTGGTAGAGTTCTTGCGTGATTCACCCATTTGGTTTCCTATAGATTTTCTTCTTGTTTTTTGTCTTGGTTTCATCATTTTAAAAAAACCCGCCTTGACTAAAGGGCATTTGGAAAGTGAAAACAAATGGACACGTGAACCTGTATTTTCAGTGACCCAGGCACGGTCACAGAGAAAAAAGACGAGCTTTAAAAATCTCCCACTGTGGTAAACACGAGGCCTTTCCGCCATTTTGCAAAGCCTCGCTTGTGCCCCTCAGCGCGCTCAGAAGCTCTGTACCGTTTGTCACTGACGTGTCTTTGCGCAACACACGTGCGTGTGGGCGCGCTGAGACCTCTCTGCTTGCAGGCGCCTTCATCCCGGGTGTCCCGGTGCAGCCCGTGCTCCTCCGGTACCCCAACAAGCTGGTAAGTTCGGGGGTTTGCTCCAGGAAGAGCTTCGAGGCTCCCAGGAGGCTCCCTCCCTTTTCCTCTCTGGTAACAGCGAGGCTGCATGAGTGGGGGAGCAGACCAGAGCCCCTCGCCTTGGCACCCTGGTTTTGAAATGCGTGGGAGACAGGGGCCAGGAAGGTTCAGGGCCGCTGCCCCAGGCGGGCGCCAGGACGATGCGATTAAGCCTCCGTCCTCAGAGACATCAGAAGGCTGCGGAAATCGGGGATTTTCACGAGACCTAGGAGGAAACGCCAACTGATTCAGGCGTCTCCGCGGGTGGAGACTTGGTGTCTGGGACAGACTCGGGCCTTGCTGCCGGTGTAACTGTGCGCAAGTCACTGAAACAAGGAAATGTTGGAAAAGAACCAAAGACCCTACAGAAAGGCCTCAGCTTGCGCAGGAAACGCTTCTGCCCCTGCTGGGTTCATGGTCTTGTTGGTGAGGACACGGCCAGGGTGGGGATCGTGCCCCGTTTTCCTAAAGAAGGGATTGGGGGCTCTCCCGGCGGCACAGTGGGTTAAAGTGCAGCACTGCGAAGCTGAAGCTGAAGCTGGCCGAGGTCCCCCACCCCGGGGGTGACCCACAGGGAGCGGCAGACCCCTTCTCTCTCCCCGCTGCTCCCCTCAGCTGTGTACCTTGTTAGTAGTCCTGTTCTGCTCCCCACTCTGACTCTGGTGAATTTTCTCATGCCCCCCCCACCTCTGGCCTGTACCCCAGTTCTGTATACATACATAATATGTTAAGGGTACTCATCTCTTGAGAGAAAGATGTGTTTGAGGATGTTTTGGTTCTGAAAGGAACTTTCTTCACTAGAGAATTTATGTCAGAAGGCAAAATGTAACTAAGAATGATCGGTGTTATTTAAGGTTAGGAGTTGCTGGGCCCTCCCTGGTGGGCAGTGAGTTCAAGAACAGCAATAAGAAACTAAAGCTGCTTCAGCACGAGTTCAATCCCCGCCCCAGAGGTGACCCACATGGCACGGCAGACCTCTCCTGACCCGCCCGCTGCTCCCCTCAGCACTGTGCTTCAGTAGATCTGGCTGTTCTGCTCCCCATTCTATCTCTGGTGAATCCTCTCACCTCTGGTCTGTACCCCAGTTCTGTGTGCGTAAATAAATAAATCTTAAAAAAAAAAAGATTAGGAGTTGCTGACCAGTTGGGCTTTCTGTTCAGTGTCTGATTTCCCAGCCTCAGGCATCTGTGATCTAAGAATTAAAATCTGTCAAGCTTTTATCATGGCAACTTTGCCTATGGATTTACTTGTATTTATTCAAAGCCTTTCACTCTATAGTACTTGTCATCTTTTCTTCCAGCATTTTTTTTTTTTTTTTGAGAAATGATGTGTTCTGGTTTTTAGAAGCAAATCCAGGCATGTTCATATGAAGGCAGGGAAGAGAACTAAATACACCCAGTTGTATTTTAAAAATTCGCTTCCATTAAAAGATGTGAGGGTTCTGTCAGGAGTCAGGCCTTCCCTCTGCAGCTGTAGAATTAGGGATTCGTGGGTCTGCTTGCTCTTGAGCTATAACCCCAGGTTTTATTTCTCATGTTTTTTTTTTAAAGATTTATTTAGCTATGCATACAAGAACTGGGGTACAGGCCAGAGGCGCAGGGGGGTGAAAGGATTCCCCAGAGACAGAGTGAGGAGCGGAACAGGCAGGTCCACTGAAATCCACTGCTGAGGGGAGCAGCAGGGAGACAGGAGAGGTCTGCCGCGCCCTGTGGGTCACTCCCTGGCCGGGGATCGAACTCGCGCTGCAGGGGCTGCCATAGCTTCACAGTGCTGCGCTTACACCCAACAGGGAGATTCCCTGTTTCTCATGTTTTTATGCAAAAACAGTCCACGAATGCCAACACTGAACTACGAATTTTGCTCTATTTGCTGTTTCTCCTCTGAACTAACGGGAGTTTAATCCTTTTGTTGCTGTAGGACACTGTGACCTGGACCTGGCAAGGATACACATTGTAAGTTGCTTGAGTCTGTGACATAAACACTATGTTTATATAAAGTGACATACATTTATTCTAGGGGAGGAAAAGAAAGATAATGCATGTCTCCTTTTTTTGAAGGAAAACATCTTGTGTTTGTAAAAGTAAAAATTTCTTATGGGGTTCTTAAATCTAGTAACTAATAGGTCTCTGGACGGAGCATGATTAATTTTCCTTTTTATACCTCCCTGTGGGGCCCAGGGTCCCCACATACTCCAGATCCCACCCCCGCCACCTCAGGCCCCCCAACCACCATGTGACTGTGGCCTCCCAGCTGGGGTCAGACTCCGTGTTCTGGTTGTGTCCACTGTGCTGGGTAGTCTGTCTTGACCATGGAGTAGATGCAGAAAGTGAGTAGTCTCTCCACAGACCTTCCTTGGGGGATGAGGGGACTCAAGGCCCAGCACCCCTGAGGGCCCAGCACCCCTCCCTTGCCCATTAACCCTGGTGTTCCCAGGCTGCAGACTTCTAGAATCCTAGTTGTCATGTTCTAGTGGGTCTCAGGTGTTTGGCTACCAGTTCCCAAGGAACATTCCAGTACCCTAGTCTGTATCCTGTTGAGCTGCAAGTCTAGCTTCATCTCACAGCAGATTTTGTGTGATTTTGTGTCTCCATCCTTGTGTGACTGTGCTGCTTTAAGCAGAGCAGAGCAGTTTCGTCGTATGACTTGGAACAGATGTGTTTTGACCTGAGAAAATAGCTAACCAAGCTTTCAGTTCTCTTCTTGGATTTTAAAAACATCGGGATCAGCAGTTTCTATAAACATTTAAGACAGGGAAGGAATACAATTCCTCTGTTAAGCAATCTGAAGTGAAAGAGGACTTTGAAACAGCAACACATAGATTCTTTCTTTCTCTCAAGAGGACCTTTCTGCTCGGTCCCAGCTTTGTGGTGGGAGCCTGCCTGGGTAGGAAGCTCTCAGTGTGCCTTTGATACTGTCATGGAAGATCAGTCAGCACTGTGGACGGGAGGCGGCCACTTGGGAATATTTAAAAGAAATCATCATTGGCCTCGAAGTGCTCTTAGATGCTTTTAGATAATGCAGACAACTTCTCAAAGTCCAATTTGGTTTTTAATACTGTATGCCTACTGTCTGCGTTATGTGCGTGTGTTGCTTTGAGATAACACATTTAAGTGAGGGTGGGTAAGTGGCCAGTTATAGCTGTGCTTAATCACCGACACCTGGGAAACCTGTCCGCCCCTGTTGCGTTTCGGTCCTTGGTGACTGATGGACACCAAAAGTAAAGGACACAAATTGTAGAGGGTACGTCAGCATCATGCTAACTTAACCCCTCCAGGAAATCAGTTGATTTGGTCAAAATACATGTTTCGTGTCGCTGCTGATTTTGCATTCCTGGTTTTCTGCTTTTACGCAAAGGCAAGTCAGGAGAAGCAGGCATCAGGAGAGCACGTTAGAAAACAGTGCCTACAAGCTGTGTGGCGAGCTCATTTACAATCTGTTTCCCGAGGTGCATCATGGTGTGGACCTTCACAAGTTAAATTCCTTGTGGAGTTAGGGGTTTGGGGTCCATAGTACAGTCGATGTGACTTTTTGATTTAGCAACAATCTAGGTAGATGTGAGAGTCAAGTAGGAGAAGACTTTTCTGGAAGGAAGACCAGGCGTAGAAAATAGAGTGATGACGTCGATGCAGCCTTCCACCCTGGGAAGTGTGTACTGACGAGAGGGATGGGAGAACATGAGAAAGAATTCAGAAAAGAGGGGAAAATACTCTCAGAGTGGACCCGCTCTGGTGGCACAACGGGTCAGGACGCAGCCCTGCAAGCTGGCCGCAGCTGCTTCAGCACAGTTCGATCCCCAGCCCAGAGGTGACCCAGAGGGTGCAGCAGACCTCTCCTGTGTCCCCGATGCTCCTCGCTCCACTCTGTTTCTGGTGAATCTTCTCCCCACCCTGCATCTCTGGCCTGTGCCCCAGTTCTGTATGCATAAACAAGTAAGCCTTTTTAAAAAAAAAAAAAAATACTTTCAGAATGAAAGATATTCAGGACTTACCAGCAAAGAAAACGCCCAAACGCCCTCTTTGCTGCATCCAGCTGTCCCTTGGCCCTGACCCAGGAGGCTTCATTCCCACCTCCGCCTCTCTGCCCACTGAGCTTGGCATCTGTTCCTGCTACACCATGGCCCTCTCTACCCCAGACTCAACCAAAGGAAGACTCCACCGAGCAGACACCCACAGGGCGCAAGACTGGGAGCCACTGGCAGAGAAGGGGCGAGTGATCAGATCTGCCCATGTCATCTAACAAGTGTGTCTGGATTGCACCAGAAGTGCAGAGTGGATGATGTGGGTTCGTTTTTAATTTTTATTTTTTTTAAACTTATTTATCAATGCATACAAGAACTGGGGCACAGGCCAGAGGTTCCGGGGTGAGAGGATTCACCAGAGACAGAGTGGGGAGCAGAACAGGCAGACCGACTGAAACACGCTGCTGAGGGGAGCAGCGGGGAGACAGGAGAGGTCTGCTGCGCCCTGTGGGTCACTCCCTGGCCGGGGATGGAACCCGTGCTGCAGGGGCTGCAGATGGCCTCAGAGCGCTGTGCTCTAACCTGTTGTGCCACCAGGGAGGGCCCAATGCGGTTAATGAGAACTCACGTGGGCTTCATCACGTGCAGCATTCTGAATTTTCAGACCTCGTGTCTAGTGAAACCCTTGAATGCCAGTGTACAGTGTGAATGATTAGAGAACAGTTTACTCTGTGGTAGGTAGCAGGCGCTGAGTTTGTGTGCTCGGGGTTGTTAGGCAAAGATTTTTTTCCCGTGTCAGCAAGGAGGTTTGAGCGCTTAGGTCAGCAGTTTATGACTAGTGATGGCCTGGGCGCGTCCTGCTTCCCAGAGTCCTAACCTCCTTCCCAGAGTCCTAACCTCCTTCCCAGAGTCCTCACCTCCTTGCCTTATGTTATTTATGGAGTAATTGTCACAGGTAACTCGTATTTTAATTTCTTTAGCTAAATAACAAGGAGGGGGATGGTTGTTCTTGAACACGTAGTCTAGTCCAGTGTTTCCACTGTTGGGTCATGTCTAAATGAGGCAAAATAAATATCCCATAGACATCTTATCCACAGAGTCTAAGTAGGTACCCCAGAAAGCTGCAAGTAGGAAAAGCTATTTCAGAAAGCATCTTGGAGAAGTTTGGTTATATAACCACTTTGAAGAAAGCCTTTGTCTAGCTTTATAATGAAACCTGACTCTTTTTAGGAAAATTTCCCTGTAACTAAAACATTTATTAGTAAGTGGGACAATTATGTAAAACTTCTACTTTTTTTTTAATATTTATTTATTTCTGGGGTACAGGCCAGAAGTGCAGGGGCGGTGAGAGGATTCACCAGAGACAGAGTGGGGAGCAGAACAGGACGACTGACAAAGTCCACTGCTGAGGGGAGCAGCGGGCGGGTCAGAAGAGGTCTGCTGCGCCCTGTGGGTCACCTCTCTGGTGGGGGATCAAACTCAAAACTGAAGCAGCCGGGATAAAGCTTGTATTTTTAAGAAAAGGCGTGCTCATTTTTTTTTTTTCCTTTTCTATCAGGAAAGTTCAGAAATGTAATATAAAATGTAATATATTCCACACAGGAGTTTTCCTCATACACATTTATGGGCCTTAAAAAGTTGCCTTGCTCATTTCCTTAGGACTGAGCCAGTGGCCCTGAGCTGTCAAGGAGACTTAAGACTTGGGGTCTGGTCTGTCAAGGAGACGTCAAATTTGGTGTCTGGTCTGCCGAGCTGCGGCTGTGTTCACAGACATTTACTTGGCGTCCCATTTGGCCACTGAAACTTTGACTATCGACAATCGTTGTCTGAGCCCCAGAAGTGTCGCACTCTGCGTGGTATTTCTGAATGCAAAGTAGTCATGACATGTGATGTGAGAGGCTCGTGTGTGAAGAAAGGACTGTTGAGTAACAGGAGATGCTCCACTCTCGCCTCCTACTGATGGCCCCCTCTCTTTTCTCCGCAGCATTCAGCTTTGCATGCTCACTTTCTGCCAGCCCTTCACAAGGGTGGAAGTCGAGGTAAGCCTTCAACATGTAGCTTTGGAACTTCAGACCTGGTGGTTCCGTCTATTTGCATTTCTGCTCCAGAGAGACCCGGTGTGCCAGGGCTGGAAGTGGAATCCACCCCTCTTACAGGAAACCCTGGCCTTTACGAGTAGTGTGTCTAAACTCAGGCTGTCAAATCTGCTCCTGAGAATTGTGCCAGGTGACACCTCTAACTTGCAGAAGCTTCCAGCCTCGCTGGAATCTCAGAAGAGTGCTGGAACCAACCTTCAGTCTTAAACCAAGTTTCAGTCAGGCCCAGATTTCAGAATGACCCTGTTAGACCCCACCCCTCACCTGGGGGACCAGCATGTCCCCCCCCAGCCCGCTTGTCAGATGTCCTATAAGATTTTGATGTCTGTCACTGCTGACCTCTGCCGACTTGAGTGATAGCCTTCATAGCCTGACCAAAGATGCTGCAGCAGCAGCAGAGGGAGACCACAGCTCTGTCAAGATCACGTGCTGGGAAAGCTGAGAGGGACTGGGGGGGGGGGGGCTGGCAGAGAGGAAGTCCTGCCTGGGAGACAACCAAGTCACCCCTCCCGGGTAGCTTTCAGTTTGAGTTGCAGGGGTAGGCGAGGAGTCGGGATAACAGGGTCATTCTGAAAATCCAGGCCAGATGTTGAAGACTGAAGGCTCTGATTCTCAGAGGTCTTCTGAGAATCTAAGAATGATGCCAAACGGACCCCTGAATCAGGAGCTAGTGGTTACTCGTGAGCCCTCGGTTGCCTCTGAAGAGCACAGGTCAGAATAGTGGTTTTGCAGGTACCTGCTGTACTTTCTGGTTGCACCATGGATGGTCTGATGACAACCTCGAGTCTGCGTGGGGCATTCAGAGTCCCCAGTGGTGGCCAGTGCAGGCCATGGAGTTGACATCACAGGGATGCTAGGTTAAGGCCCTCCCTCATGGCACAAGGGGTTAAGTCTCAGCACTATGAAGCTGTCTGCAGCCACTGCCGCCTGAGTTCAATCCCCGGCCAGGGAGTGACCCACATGGCGCGGCAGACCTCTACTGTCTCCCCGCTGCTCCCCTCAGCAGTGAATTTCAGTAGATCTGCCTGTTCTACTCCCCACTCTGTCTCTGGGGAGTCCTCCCACCCCACCCCCACCTCTGACCTGCACCCCAGTTCTTATATGCATAAAGAAATAAATCTGTAAAATGAAAAGAATGCTAGTTTACTTGGCTGGGCCCTGCAATGCAGAGGTTGTCAGCAATACCAAAAGCTGGACCGTTGTGAGTGGAGAGGGGGAAATCTGAGGGAAGGGGCTGTGGCTACACCAAGACAAACCCATCAGGAGACACAGATAAGACAGAACTATCACTGTCTGTCTGTCCGTCCATCACCCATCTGGCTATCCATCATCTGTTTACCAGCAATACCAGGAAGAGGGCCAACTACATTTCAGAGTGAGTTTAGCCTCAGTGAAGTTTTTCTCGAGACTTGCAGGTTATCTACCTGCCTTGAAAATACCTGCTGATTAATTGTATGCCACCTCTCCCTTCTTGAAAATCAGCTCAGTATTTCTCAACGTAACCTAAAAAAACCAAAAAACCAAAACAACACAAAGCTGTGTCACGGGAGAAATACCCAGCGTGTGTCCTAGTAAGTTTAGGAAGTGCCGGAGCAAGCAATGAGAATGAGGTTCCTTTTCTCAGAACTTCTCAATGAAATGTTTAACCACAGACCCCCATTTTCTCTGGGTATTTCCTAGAACCAGAGTTCCCTGGAAGACATTTCGGGAAGCCCCGTGTCACGTCATTGCTGAGTCCTCTGAGTACTGTTCTCACTCCTTGAGTAGCTGCTCAGAGACTTTAGCCCTAATTTCCCATCCTAAAACATACAGACGGGCCCTCCCTGGTGGCACAGTGGGTTAAAGCGCAGCACTGAGAAACTAAAGCCACTTCAGCATGAGTTCGATCCCCGCCTGCCCCAGAGGTGACCCATAGGGCACACAGACCTCTCCTGACCCACCCGCTGCTCCCCTCAGCAGTGGGCTTCGTCGGTCGGCCTGTTCTGCTCCCCACTCTGTCTCTGGTGAAGCCTCTCACCGCCCCTGCACCTCTGGCCTGTACCGCAGTTCTGTATGCATAAATAAATAAGTCTTAAAAAAAAAAAATACACACACAGGAAAACCCATACATATACCAGCAGGCTGTGTCTTCTCTGAGAACTTGGAAGATTGTGTGTGTGTAGTTAGATGGATTAATAGATTGACAGATGATGGACAGACGGGGGATAGTTCTGTCATACCCATGTCTGTTGACAGGCGGTTCTCTCTGTAGCCACCGGCCCTTGCCCTAAACCCCCTGTCCGGTCCCAAGACCTGGCAGCCTGCGTGGAGCACGCCCCCACTGCCCGCGGGTGGGAGTCGCGGTCAGAGCCTTGCCGCAGAGACAGGCAGATTCTGCCTGTGCTCTTCCTCACCAGCCTTACCACGTTACCTTAGGTGCTGGCAGGCAGCAAGCGGTCAGTGAGCACTGGCTTTTATTTCCCTCCTTACTCGATTTTTTGTTCTCTTAGGAAGGGAGCAGCAACTGCACCTAACTGCACCTACATCACTCCCTCCTTTGGCATTGTCTCTTTTTTTTTTTTTTTATTTGTGCGTACAGAACTGGGGTACAAGCTAGAAGAGCAGGGGGAGCGAGAGGCTTCACCAGAGACACAGCGGGGAGCAGAACAGGCAGAGCGACGAAGTCCACTGCTGAGGGGAGCAGCGGGCGGGTCGGGAGAGGTCTGCCGCGCCCTGTGGGTCAGCTCCGGGGCAGGCGGGGATCGAACCCGCACTGAAGCCGCCTTGGCTTGGCCGAGCTCTGCAGCACAGCGCTCCAACCCGCTACGCCAGCAGGGAGGCCGGCATTGGCTCTTTGTGAGGTCCTAGAACGACCCATCTGTCCAGACGGATCTGTTAGGATCCTTGTCTGTTACTTAGGAAAAGAAAAGGCTGCTCCTGCGTCACCACTTCTAGATCGCGCTCCTCTGCGCTTGATCCTCCCGCAGGAGCTCGCTCGTTGTGGCCCGCAGGCGTGAGTGAACCCGTTTGCCCAGTATGAGTGGGCATGGGGAGGACTGATTGTACCTGAAATGACAGGCTGAGGAATCTTGATTTTTATCTTGGGCGCGGTCTCAGGCCCAGGGGAGGCGGGATGCGGGGGCCAGAGGCCCGACAGGAGTCGGGGCGGGGAGCCCTCACCCGCCGCCCGCAGGGCAGGCCAGTGCACAGCCAGCTGGTGAGGACTGGAGGCCACTGATGCGGGGAGGGGAATGGTCCTCCCGGGGTTGGGAAGGGCGCGGGCGTGGTCACGTGGGCCTCTGGGGCGGAGGAGGAGGCCTGTCCGCTCCCCAGCCTGCCTGGGTGGTCAGGTCTGGGCTCCAAACCGGCCACAAAGCGGAGGAAGCAGAGGTCTGTCTGTAATATTCCAGCAGGAGGGCAGCCCAGGGAAATAAAAGTGAATTCCCAAAGCCACGGAGTGTGGGGGCTTCTTACTGCCGTAGCCGGGAGCGGGCCGGGGCGTTTGAGCTGCGGAGGGGAGAGTGGCTGGTTTTCAGGGAAGGTGAAGGCGCCCCGGAGAACAGAGGGGCGAGCGGCCGTGTGTGACGGCGTCGGCGGGCGTGTGATGGGCTTCTCGTCCTCTGCCCTCTGGTAAGCCAGTCCTCCCCGTCCGATCCACCTCCCAGGAGGGGCCGTGGGACAGTCGAGGTCCTCTGGGCCTGTGGTCCGGCAGGTGAGGCCGCGTGTGACGGGTCAGGTATGATGACAGCAGGTCACAAGACCCCGTGCGCCTTCAGATGAACAAGACGCAGGAAGAGGGGCCTCCCTGCTGCCGCAGGGGGCAAGTCTCAGCACTATGAGGCCATCGGCCGCCACTTGGCCTGAGTTCGATCCCCGGCCAGGGAGTGAGCCACAAGGCGCAGCAGACCCCTCAGCAGTGGGTAGCAGTGATTTGTAGTAATCTCAGCCCCTGGGGCTTCGCGCTTTCCTGAGCACAGGAAGGACTCGGAGTGACCAGAGCCATGGACATGCTAACTCCAGCACAGAGGGGCCGGGAGGGAGCAGAGCAGGAGCCCGGGTGTCTGGGCATGGCCCCGGGTGTGAGCACGAGCAGGTCGCGAGAAGTGAGTGCGACAAGACTGCGGGGCTTTCTGGGGACATCAGAGCCCTGTTTGTGTCCTGGACCGGGATGGCTGACCAGGCTAGGCACTGCAACAGGGAGGCGTCCGCCGAGTCCTGTGTGTGGACAGTGGGCACAGCCAGAGAGGAGGAGGATCGGGAAGCCGGGCGGTCCGGACGCCCCTGGGCATCCAGACTCCCGGAGGGGACAGCGCTGGGTCATGGCCGTCGCGCCCCTTCTTGAGTGACGCTTCCCGCGCCAGGGCCTGTTTCTGCCGTGAGCCTTTCAACGGATGCCAGCGTGATCTCAAGGCAATGTCTTGTCAAAGGAGAGGTGATAGAATTTCCACTGAGTTGCTTCTTAGGAGACTTGGGGTGGGGAGGTGGGTGGGCTGCAAGGGCCTTGCATGTCAAATCCAGGCTTTTAATTGCTTTGTACTCTCTGTGGAATTTTTGGCCTCAAGAATAAAATGCCACGCCAAGATGAGTTATTGACAGTCATTTTATGGAAATCCTACCTGCGTGGAAAGGCACCAAGCCCACAGGCCATTGCTCGGTGTTTGGGTAAAGGGGGACAGTGATTTCTGGGTCTTCAGAAAGTGATTTATAGAAATCCAGCGTCTAAACAACGATCGTTTGGCTTCTTTGAAAAACTGGAAATGGTAGAGCGATTTAAACCTGTGTCTTATTAGTGATTTTATGAACATCCACTGTAATGTACAGCTTGCTTTCTTGGGTTTATACTAAGCAGCCATGTGCATTTCACTAGTTCAGGATGGAGGGAAGTTGTGGAGATATTTATTTGCTAAGAGAGTTTGTTTGCGCTGGAAGGGCAGGGATGTGGGGACCTCTGGTGGCTTCATTCATTTTTCTGTTTTAAAGAATAACTAGACCTGACCTGGAAGACTATAAATTCTGCTTGGAAAGGGTCTTAGACACCATTCACGCATATGTTCGCTTGACTCTAGAGGGAACTGAAGCCCAGAATGGCCAAATGACTCTGCCAGGCCCTGGGGGCAGCGCCTGGGCAGTGAGCGGGGCCGTCCGCCTGGACCGGGCGCTAATAAGAGGAGCAGTAAACGGACACACAGCAGGTTAGCCTGTCCTCTGTGCTACACTGAAAACACCCTCGTCCACGCGACTCTAACCACACACCCCTCTTCATGGATTTAGGGTCTCTCCAGGCTGGCCCAGCCTGTTGGGGGGTCCCCCCCCCAGGCCTCTTCCTTCCGGATTTCTTCACTCACAACCCCCCAGGACCTGGTGGTGCCCCCCCTAGCTTAAATAACTCCACCACACCCTGGACCTCTTACTGTGATGAACAAAACTTGAAAAGAGGTGCGTGTAAGCTCCCAGGGGGAGTCATTTCTGTACTTTTTTCATTCAAATGATGATCCCCCCACCACCGTGTGCCCATCAGCTATGGGTTTTACCTGGAGAGCCTTCACCTCCTCCCCCTCTGATGGAAGGGGAAAGTGCTCACCACCTGGGATTGTTGAGTTAATCACAGAAAGTCCCAGCACACAGCAGGTAGTTCTGCCTGAGGGACTTGCCTCTTTGAATCACAGATTTCTACCCACAGAAAGGAGAGCCCCTGGGGCTTGGTGGGGGGGCAGTGGATGATCACAGGTCACAGGTGCCTAGGCCATATTTGTGGGTTGGAAATAAGACATGAGCCAATCATTTAATCTTGGTGCACCTCAGTTTCCTATGGCTAAAATTGAACTAAAGAGACAAAATCATGCATCTGGAGCATGAAGGAGGGTGCCCGCTTCACACAATTCAATCAACAGTAACGATTAGTGAATCGTGTTTATCCTTAAAAAGCCAAGATCAAGTATTAGCTCTTCTGCAAAGACTCTTTGGCTGCCTTTCCCTGCTGTCCAGCCAGATTAATCATTTCCTCCCCCTCGTCCTCATACTCCAGGAAGGAGCGTGTATGCAGGCAACAGTATTTAGGATCTGGCAGACCTAGGGCTGAGTCCTGCCCATGTGACCTGTCTCATTTTAAGTAAATTAGTTAAACTTTCAAGTCCACTCTAATTGAGGCCAATAGGGTGAAGATGGGGTGTGCTGTGTTGTTCTGGCCTCTTAACACATGCATCTTTTTAATTTTTTTCACAGAAGAATTGGGGTGTAGGCAGTAAGAGGTTTCACCAGAGTCGGAATGGGGAGCAAAAACAGGCAGATGGACTGAAGCCCACTGCTGAGGGGAGCAGCGGGGAGACAGGAGAGGTCTGCTGCGCCCTGTGGGTCACTCCCTGGCCAGGGGATCAAACTCAGGTGATAGAGATGATAGAACTGAGACTTAATCCCTAGGTCACCAGGGAGGACCCCAAACATGCATCTTTGAGGCAGGAGTGGGGCCCTGTTGACCTTGCCTGGTATACAGTAGGTGCTCAAAAAATACGCACAGATATAAATGCACTACCCAGGCCTGGTTCATGTTAGAGAACATTAACCAGGGTGAGCAAAACTCAGTATTGAGCAAAGTTGTTGCCAAGAGCTACAGTAAGAGTTTTGGGATCCTCCCTACAGGCCAGCCAGTTAAGCGCAGCACAGAGAAGCTGTCTGCACTCACCACAGCACAATTTTGATCCCCAGCCAGGGAGGGACCCACAGGGCGCAGTAGACCCCCCCTGTCTCCCCGCTGCTCCCTTCAGCGGTGGATTTCCGTCAATCTGTCTGTTTTTCTCCGTACTCTGTCTCTGGTGAATCCTCTCACTGCCCCTCATGGCTGGCCTGTACCCCAGTTCTTGTGTGCATAAATAAGTCTTTTTAAAAAAAATAAGATTTTTTAAAAATAGAAGAAATAGGGTATCCTTGGTGGTGCAAAGG